GTGCGGGAGCGATGCTTCCGCCGCGGCATGGCTGGGAGAGACCCCGACTCCCGGCTGTGCCGACACAGTGCTGGGAAGCAGTCACCTTTCTCCTCTCTTCTCCCAGCTTTGCCAGTCCCTGCTCCGAGGGGAGAAGGGAGGAAGGAGGAAGAGCATCCCTCTCGGCATGGCAGCCGATCAGAGCCAGGGCACAAACCCACTCACCCTCCTGGGAAGGAGCCAGCCTCTCACTCCTGGGAAGGGAAAACAAACAGAGAGCCTTTACTCACCCGTCCAAACACTGCCCTCCTCGCCCGGGAGCGCCTGGAAGCTGGACTTTGTAAAGGTTTTAAACCACGGTTCCCCAGCCGAGGCGGGGGGAAGCTCGGGTCGGGAGCGGGCAGGAGCCACGGTGGCAGATGGGGACCTCAATAGCAGCAAAGCAATATCCACCGGCGCGCAGGGAGGGTGCAGCACAGAGCAGCTCAAAACTGCCCCCCTGCCCTCCTCTTCCTCGGGGGGCTCCCAGCAGAGGTTGGGATGGAGGTGGATGGCGAGTCCGAGCCCAATTCAGGAGACGTGCCAGGTGGTGCAGGGGGTCCCAGCAACTCCATGCAGCCGAGGAGCGAGGCCTTTACCCCGGCACGCATCATCTCGCTGGCCAGATGCTCGGGTTTAGGTTCATGGTTTCTCTTTTCTTGGTTCATGCAGAGGAAGGGGACCCAGCGCCATGAGGGGGGTTCGATGGGATGCTTGCGCGGCGCCGGCAGGGCTGTTGCATGTGTGCGGTGAGAAGCGAGGGGTTATTCCAGCGGGAACCAAGCAGCAGAGTCAACAGCCAAAGTCCCGTAGGTGAAGATGTCGGAGGAGGTCTCCCCTTGGCAGTCAGTCAGTGACAAACCCCACACGGGCAGGACTGCGCTTCAGCTGCGGAACACAAACCGGGCAGAGAGCGGGAGCTGGCTCCGACCACCCCTTTGGCAGAGCATCCCTCTCCCCTTCGCCCTCTCACGGCCATCAGCCATCTCCTCCCCACCACAGACCCCCAGGGCAGGATCCCACCCACTTCGCAGCCTCAACACCCCAAGACATCCACGCCATCCCCTTCGTGCCCCCCTCGCCCCATCCCCGGAGCCTCACAGGGCTTACTGCGGTAGGACGGAGGGCGCGCCGGATCTGTGGAAGTGGACGATTTGCCATTTGCCATCCCGGCGGTGCCAGATGCGGGTCTCCTCGGACTGGGCGGTGCGGGGGATCCCTCCCGCGTCCACGTACTGCGTGATGCGGATGTAGGCGATGCAGGCGGACTCGTCTCCCATCAGGTGGATGTGGGGGTTCAGGATCGTCGTGTGCACAGGCTTGCTGTTCCGGGACCACACTGGAGAGGGGAAAAGTACAGGCAGCTTTAGGCAGGGGAAGGGATTTGGGTGGCTCTTGCCCAGGGCGGCAGCAGTATGGGAGGGGGAGATGCCTGGGTTAAGCTCTCTGCTTGGAGGGGCTGAGTAAACACTCCATGGGTGAGTTCAGGATGGGTCTACATAGAAAGCAGCTCACCAAACATCTCCTCTGCATGCAGCCCGGCCCCAGTTGACCTAACAGGTCCTGCTGGGATCTTCCAGATCAGCCAGAGATGCTCCCAAAGCCACCCTTACCCTCCTCTCTCCAGCAAGCTGATGGAGGTCAAGACACAGCTGGGCACGTGGGAGGTGGGAAGGGTCCCTTGGGAGGCAAGGGGGCTGCTTACGGTTTTCGAAGTAGAATCGGTGGAAATCCAAGCCTTCGACGAGGTTACCCAGAGCCTCAGGCTCGAAGGCAGTCATCCCAGGGTCGCACATCTTCCTGGGGAGGTGGGAAGGGGAGAGAAAAGGGAGACGTTATCCCACTGCTTCTGGCACAAGAGCCTGCAAAACCCAAACGGCTCGTGCTGGGGGTGACCCCCCCTCAGCCTGAGAGCAAGGAGCCTCTGGACCAGTGAGCAATTCAAGCAGAAGTCCAGCCTTGTCCCTGCACTCTGCGTGAACCCCACCCCACCTCACCTCCAGGCCACCGACTGCAGCCAGGACCCCATCGAAGCAGGGTGAATTCTCCATTGCTCCCCATCTCCAATTAAACCTCCCAAAACACTGCTGTCTTCTTTGTAAGAAAGAAAAACATCAGGGAAAAGCTCATGTTCTCTGCTCTGTATCAAAATATCCCTGCTGTGGTTCTCTCAGGCAGGGATGAAGACCTGCACTCACTCAGAAATTGCTAATTAAATAAGCCTTGGACACGGAAGCAGCGTACTCTGAGGAGCATCAGCTCAGCGATTAGAAAGCAGTTACGCTTCCAAGCAGCCTGTGGCAATCTGGATATAATGGATACCATGGATGCAATGTTCATTCTTGCACCATAAATCACGTTTACAGTTATTCATCTCTCCGCAGACCAGAAAATGGGCTCATCCATGACTAGTGTGAGAGAAGACCAGGCTTGGAAAATGACGTTCCCTGCTTCTCTTGGATGGTCTCCATGCCTCCCCACCACGTCAACCTGGTCAGCCTGCCCCGGGCAGCAGTGAAACCTCCCGGGCTGTGGTGTCACAGTGAGAGCACCCACTCTGGGAGGCTGGTCACCCCTTCAGCCCAAACCCACACTGGGCATGTGTAGGACTCACGTGTAGGACTCAAAGTCGCCGTTGCTTATTGCTTCTATCAGCTGCTCTGTGACTTTAATGATTTCTTGCTTCCGTACTGTTGGTTTAAAGAGAAAAAGAAAATAAAAAGAGAAAACAAACCAAAAGTGCTGGCTTTGCAATACCGGTGGGGTATCTTTTTCTTATTACAAAAAGACGGTGGGATCTTGGGGGCCGTTATAAACTATCCAGGGGAAACGCTGGAGAGGGACTTGGGAGAGAGAGGTGGGAAGGGCCCTTCATCCCTAGAGAGGAAAGACCTCCAAGGTCAGGGCAAAACTGAAAAACCCTGTATTTTCCTAAAGAGCAAACGGGTTAATTACCGAGGGGTGAGTTACCCTCATCCCAAAAAAATGTGACACAGGCTGGTCTCGGCTGCAAAGCCTTTCCAAGTCAGGACTTTCTACCCCGAGAACTCAGATCAGGGGCCAGCCAGGGCAGGCTGGACCAAGGATGCTCTCACCTCCCTCTGAGCTGGGAGCAGAGGGTCTCAGCTGGAGCAAGGACAGGGGGGTGATGCGGCCATCCACCTCAGGAGACACACAGAGGGACCCTGCAAGGGCACGGCACCGTGCGGCTGCTCCAGGGACCCCGGGTGCTGCCGGCTCAGCTGGGAAGGGACCGGGCTGGGAGAGCTGCTTTGGCTCCCAGGGATGCAGAAGGAGCTGCCAGAGGCAGCCCTGGGCTTATTAACAAGGCTCTACTTCAAATGCAAATCGGTCTCACTGTCTGACTTGATTTTTTTTGTACCGTGGCTAATGAAAGGAGAGGGAGCACGTTCCTGAGGTTCCTGAGAGTGGTTCAGAAAGGAGGAGAGGGAGCCCCATCACTTCCCAAGCACCACCTGCCTCCATGTCTGCTGTCAGGGAGCCCTTCCCCAGGAGGAGAAGCGTCCCGTTAACTCTCATGTCAGGCCAAAGCCCATCTTGCTTTGTGCTGAGATCACTTCATCGAGAGACTTTACAAATTAGCACCGATAAATTATTCCCTGGGTTATTTTTACAAAGCCGGCTCTGGCAGGCGGGCGGGCGGGCGGCAGGGATTTCCCCTGGAGGCTTTTCCCAAAAGGCCGTTTATTTTGGAGGAGCGGGCGGCCGTGCTGCTATCCCTGCAGATTTCTGCCATTTCCACGCTGGCTTTCAGGGAACATCCCCGGTTTTGGGAGCCCCCCCTCCTCGCCAGCAGTGCCGCAGCTGCTCATGGCAGCGACCCAGCAGTGAAACCACCTAAGGAGTTCAAGCAACTTCTGAAGGGCCCCGGGGCAGCTTGATGGTGATGGGATTCCCCATAGCCAGTATCTCATTAGCGGTGGCCAGACTAACGACCCCAGGGCACCCCTTCTAAACAGCTTGCCTGCCCTCCCAAGTGCCCCCACTGGTACCTTTAGTGTCTTCATCCTCAATGGTGGTGTTGGTGCTCTCCGACGATTCCTGAGCAAAGAACAGAAAGGAGATGGGGTGGTGAGAGAGGTCTTCTCCCTGCGCCAGACAGAGCTTGTGTGTTTGACAGCCCCCCGAGTCCGACCCCATAGCGCTCGACTGTGCCAACGGACAGAAACCAAGGAAAACACCAGCAGATCCAACCCGTCCTCAACCACAGCTCTAGGGCAGCACTGGCAGAGCCCTCCCTGACCTCCACTCCTTGTAGCCAAGGGCACAAGAGCAGGGCTGTGGAGGATCTCGTAGGAACGGCACGGCCTTTCCTACCAAAGCCTGCGGGGACAGAGACGGGGCAGGGGCGGGGGGGTTTGGTGGGTTCCTAGGAGCGTTGCAGGAGGGGCAGGGAGAGGGGCTGTGCGGGGGTGGAAGACACCATGTTGACTGTACGATAAAGAGAGAGATGTACAAATTAAACAGCGAGGAGGAGCTGGGATGAGAAAGAGGGGACTGTGCAGGAGTGAGAGAGACCACACTGACCGCAGAGTAGGGAGAGAAATGTACGATAAAACAGAGTGCTTCCAAGACCCACATGGACCACCGAAGGCTGAGACACAGCTCCTTCAAGAAACAGCTGAGCACTAGACAGATTTGAGGGGGAGGGGGGTACTGACCCCCCATGTCTCTCCAGGAGCCCCATCCAGGCGACTCTGCTAGCGGAGCTAGAGCAATGGCTCTGCTAGCTCTTCCCAGCAGAGCCTTGCTTATGTATTACCCATAATACCCCGATGTAGGTTGGCAAGGTGTCCCATGACCATACAGTCCCCGCAGAGGCATGGAAGGTGTTTCTCCAAGGCTCCTTGGACCGATGCAGCCTGCAGACCTGAGTCAGGAGAACTGGGAGAAACGGCATGAGAACCCATCAGCAAGAACCAGGGCTGGCTTCCCATCAGCTGGTGGCCAGCAAGTGCCTGCACCAACCCTGTTAGTGGGGTTTGTGGGTGATACGGCTTTGAGGATGTTCCCTCCAACCCCGGTGTCCCTTCTTCCCTACCCCGAGGTAACTTCCAAAAACAGGGGAAGCTGGAACACGTGGAGAGGCCCAGCAATATCGGCATTGAGGAAGACGAAGGACACTCACCATTAACTGAACGCTGGAACTGGACTTTCTTTTCTGGAAAAACAAGGAGAAGAGATGGAACAGGAAGAGACACAGAGTGAGAAAGGCAGAGAGCGGCACGTGAGAGGCAGCAGCTCCTGAGCCACCCTTCGTGGACTTCTTGGAGGGGCAAATGAAAGGTGTGGAGGGGCAACCTGGCTCTCCTGTAGGGACGTGATGCTGGCTGTGATGCTGGTGGTGGGCTGCCAGCTCCCTCCCCGCGTTCCGCCTGGCACCTTTCTCTCCTGACCTGCCACAATCTCTGGTGTTGCTTATCTCAAGGACCTGGCTAGTCCAAAAGGGAGTCCCCTAGGAGTTGATGACTGCTCTGGTGGCTTTGTGACCAGGCCAACAAGCTTATAGGAACAGGAGTGGGACGCTGAAAAGCTAAGGCATCTCCACTACCTGCACAGCCCTGTGCCCGGTGTCAGCGCTGCACTGAGCTGTTCTGGGTGCATCTGCCCATGCTGCTGACTAGGGTGGAGATGCCCAATTAGCTTTGGACCCAGACTGGTACTAAGCTGGCTGGCTTAAAGCCAGCACGGCTATTGCTACTCAACCCCCCAAGGCAAACATACCATGTGGGAAGCTCTCCTGAGGACAGCTCCAGGACAAATCAGGACAAACCTCCTCCAAAGAGAAGACCTTACGCATGCACATATTTATCTCCATCCTTGACCACTACCAAAAGGCTTTTGGGTTGGATGACCCCATAGCCATGATTCTGCTTACAATCCCAAACTACTTCTGGACTGTCCTTCTTTGCTGTGCTCTGCTCCCCACCTCCATCTTTAATCTAGCCCGGGGACAGAGGGACGCGCACGCTGGCCTCGTGCCCTTTGTCCACCTCCAGCTCCCAAGGGGATGAATCACAGCAAGCGACAGGGAACACCAGCGTGCAGGAATCGGGAGCTGCAGTGCCAGGTAACAAAGTGTTTTATCAGCATATTTAACAAGGCACCGGCTCTGCCTGCCCAGCAGAAGGAAAAGCAGCACACACAGTGCCAATCTCTTGGAAGAGTCCAAGAAGTGACCCGTTAGGGTGCATGGGTGGGCTGCAGCATAAAAACTGCTGATACCCATTCGCCCTCGTTGCTCCCTTCACTTCCTAACTGGCTCCCACCAGCATCGTCACTGAGTTTCCCCCTCTGCCAGCGCAGCTCTCCCCTCCCTCGCTAGGTCCTACTTCAATCCTCATCCCTCCTTCACCGAAACAACAGATGTCCTAAAGGGCAGAGTGAGCTGCGGTATTTCGGAAGGAACCTCCTGGGAACCGGAGCCACCGGAGCTGGGCTGTCTGCAGGAAGAGCTGACAGCTTCTGCTACCCAAGGACACGAGACGGGGCAGTAAACTGCAGAAATTTCAGACGCAACAGAATGCAACACAAAGCAGTGACCGCGTCGAGTCTGGACATACAGTAACAGGATGCGACACGGGGCAGTGAGCTCATTAATTTAGGACGGGACAGGATGCAACACGGGGCAGTGATTTCATTAGTTTACAATGTGACGAGATGTGACACTACACAGGGCACTGAAGGTATCACAGCTGCTGGGACCAGAAGGCCTCCCACAGACCCCAGCGCAGGGCTCGAGGGGGATTTTTGGTCCCGTGAACATTTTTAGTAGGGGAGGAACCTCCTTGGGAGGGTGAGCTTCCAGCCCTCTGAGCCTGGGCTAGCACCATCCCGGTGCTGGAGGGCTGTGCGGGCAGGCTGGAGGGCAGCACCAGCTACCTGGTGCCCACCTGCGTAGCCTTGGGCAGGGATGGCAGGGGTGGCCTCCTGAGACCTGCCTGCTCTCATGGGGATGGTCAGTCCAGCAGGGGTCTCCAAATGGGGACACAACTCTTCCAATAATGAACCACACCATGTGGCCTGACTTCCAGCCCTGCTCCGAGCAGGAAGGACTGTACCCTTCCCACCTTCCCAAGACAGGTTTCCAGGTTCCTGCCTCGCTTTTCCAGCAAGATGGAAAGAACTGAACACGGCCTAGTGTTGCCCTGACATCTGCCAGCTGCCCGTGGTGGACCATTAAAGCTTTGCCTGGAGCACCCAGCCTCTCTGTGCCCCCGTGAGTGGGTTATGCTGCGAGCCCCCCCAGCCTGAGCATGGGAATCAGAGGTGGGAATTGTAATGCTGAAGGTGGCCAGCACAAGCAACCTGTTGGGAATGAGTTTGGCTCTACCTTGTCTTCTCCTTCTCTACCTTCCTGGCTGTCTAGCCAGGCTGTCTCACTTCCACTTGTTGGAAAGCGGGCAATAAAAAAGCAAACTCATTCTCCAGAGCTTGTACATCCTCTTGAGCTGAGAACTGGCTGGGAGACAGCACCCAAATGAAGCCTCACTCGCTGTTCCCCGCTCACCAGCGAGGGGCTGAGGACTGGGGGATACAAACCAGCCTCTCTGATCTCACTCTGAAACCAGACGCTCCTTGATGAGTTTCAGTGATGGGCCAGAAAGCTCTTTACCCAAACTAGGTATTTTGCTATGACAGCAAGTGCCCCTCTTCCCAGCGTAACGCCTGCCCTCAAACCTACTTTGAAGTCCAAGAGGGAGCATCATTAGTGAGTTGGGCTGGTAAATGGTCTTCTACCACCACACCATCCCAGCGATGCTAGAGATGAAATTCAAGGCTGTCCCCTTCTGCTGGAAAATTAGATTCAGGACTGTGCCTGATGAAGCCTCTCCATCCACCAATCTCTGCTTTTACAGCTTAAAAATGCATCTCCCGATTGCTCTCACCTGTGCTCCAGCAACTCATACCAAGTCATCTCTACCTGTGGTGTCACTTCTCAGGTGACTCCCAGAAGCAGCCGGGACCTCAGAGCAGCAAAGGACAGGCCAGCAGTGGCTGGTAGATGGGTTGCTGTGGCTCCCAAGGGACCTGTCCCCCCTATGCCAGCACTGTTGTCCAAACCTAGCAATCCTGTCCTGGAAGCCACGTGATACCCTGACACCACGGCCCAAAGCAATGTCCTCTCATAGCAACGCAGGACATCAGCTTCATGTTGCAGAATAGCGCTGCATGGCCAGAATGGTCTGTTGTGGAGCTGAGCCCAGGTTTGGAGGGTTGTGCATGGTCTCAAGCCTTGCAGGTTTGTCCTGTCCCTAGGCGCTGGGTCCCTAGGCGAAGGAGTGGGAGAAAGACAAGCCATCCCTAGACCTCTGGCTCCACTGACAGTTTGGACTGAGGAGGGAAGAAGACAGCTGAGAGCTCTGCTCTTCCAAAATGCTGCACCCCTCACAGCCCTACAGCTGGGTCCCTATGAAAGGGCCAGAGGAAGGAGAGCAGCTGTGTTGCTATCGGGCTCCCAAAGCTCTGCCTGGCACCTTGCACTGCTGCCCAGCTCTCCCCTGCTGAGTGATCGCTTGTGTTCATGAAGGGAACAGGTAAGGAAAGAAGGACCCTCACAGGGACCATTACTTCCTGCAGGAGGAGTTTGACAGAGCTCGCTAACCACCACATCTCCATATCATCAGAAGAAGGTGCTCGGCAGCAGGATTTCGCTGCCTCCAGGAGCAACCTTATCCTGGAGAAGAGCTGTGGCCTCACCACCGAGGGGCAGGTGAACCCAAGGGCTCTGCAGCCCAAGAAACAAGGTCCACCAAGCCTTGGCTTGTTTTTAGAGCATCACCAAGCCATTTGCTTGTCAAGCATCACCAAGTTCCTTTGGTCTGTCTGCACTGGGCACAGAGGGCCGGCAGTGCTGCAGAGAGGGTTAAAGGCACCCATGTGCCACCCAGCACCACTCCAGCCCTTGGCGATGGTCTGGGACAGGAGCTGGGGGACGAGCCCAGCCCCACCAGCTGCAGCGGGACGTATGCTGGGGTCAGCAGGAGATGCAGCCGCCCATTGAAGTTCCATCTGAACATGAGGAAGAACTTCTTCCCTCTGAGGGTGACGGAGCCCTGGCACAGGCTGCCCAGGGAGGCTGTGGAGTCTCCTTCTCTGCAGATATTCAAGACCTGCCTGGACGCGGTCTTGTGCAGCCTGCTGTAGGCAACCCTGCTTTGGCAGGGGGTTGGACTGGGTGACCCACAGAGGTCCCTGCCAACCCCGAACATTTTGTGATTCTGTGAAAACTGAACCACTAATTTTGTGAAGAGTCTTAGTTAGACTCTTTTAAGTCCCTGGATCTTCCATTTAAAATGTTTGATCTGAAGTATATTACATGTAGTGCACTGTATCTCTTTGTTGTTGTGGATGGTGAAATTTCTATTCCAGTAACACCGTGCTGTGGTTTGGATACATCCTCTTGTTTTTTTTCAAAACCAGAACAAAAAATGGATGCTGGCTATTTCTTCCTGTTTTTTACCACCACTTGCTATTTCATCATCTAAATTCAGTGAAACGCATGTATCTGAGCGTTTTTTTAATGGTTAAAAAAAAATAAATGCCTATTAACTTTGAGTCAGTTGGGTGCTATTCTTTTATGAGGTCCATTATGCTGATAGTGGTAGCTGGCTTATGGTATTATGTATTTAAGTTTGCTTGGTCATTGTACAAGAGGTTAAAACAGCTTGGGGTTCTGAATAACTGGTTTAATTACAGGAAAGTGAGAAATTCAGGGCAAAGTTTAGAAGTGTACTGACTAAGCTACAAATGATCCAAACAAGACTTAAAATATTTTGAATAATAAACCGAAGTACTTTTGCAGGAAATAAACCAGAAATGCTCTTTCTGCAAAGGAGTATTTGATGTGGTTATGTTCCTTATTCTGTGAAACAGTCATTCTAGTGGTAGAAAGATTCAGTTCGGCTCTTCAGGATAGAATTGTTGAATGATGGTAACTGTGGGAAAGCAAGAAGTAAGGAGAAAAATAGAGGGGAATACGGTTTCTGTCTGATGCTGTCTGAGTCCAGGACAGGTAGTCAGCCCTGAATTAGTGCCCTGGGCTTTCCAGTTGGTTTAGAGAGATGCTGCTCTAGCTTGTGTCTCTTCCCTGCTCTGGGGCATCAGCTGGCAGAGCTGATTTGGTTCTGCTGTTTTGGTAGTCTTTGCTAGCACAGCAGAACTAGGTGGACCCTCTAAGTGTATCCTGTCCAGTGCAATAAATCTCACTGTCAGGGTAAATTAAGGGGGCAATAAAGTGCTTCACAATAAAAAGGGGCACATGACAGAGGAAGAACTAAGGAGGAGAATATTACTGCTCTGTGGCTCATGCCTTTACTGGCATGCTGTTGATAGGCAAGATCCCTCCCTGCCAGCTTTCAGGCCTGTAGATTCCTTGAGGTGTGCAGAGAAGGCTGAAATAAAACATTTTAACAGCTTTTTTTCTAAGAAACTTACATACGTTCATTCCCCTCCAATATATTTTCTTTTTAAAAGACTCGTAGTACTATGACAGGAAGAATATTTCTATTATTTTATTCACCAGATAAACTTAATTTCTAATGTTCCAAATTTGGCGACTCGCTGATCCCTGCCTGTGAAATCTGGCAAGGCAGGAGGGACCCAAGAGATCCCGCTGCCATCTGGCTGCGGTAACACCCAGGGACCTTTCTGACACTTTCCCAGTGCAGAGGATGCTCTCCCTGAGCCACAAACATCTCCAGGAGGACACAAAACCAGCTGCCTTGAGCCCTGGCTGGCCCTAGTACCCACGTCCCCACCCCGGCACGAGCCAGATGGGTGGGTGCATACAAACCCCAAAAACCTAAACCTCTGGGGACCACTGTGCCTCAGCCAGACACATTTTCTCTTGCACACTAAGCCAGCAGCCAGCCTGGAGGTGCCAGGTGACCTGGCCCAGATGACTGCCCAATGCCATGCAGCCCCAGAGGCACCAGAATGCAAACGCCGATCCCCTGTGAGACTCGGTGATGAAGAAAGCTCTCCAGGGACCCTAGGGGTTTGCCCTGGGCACCCTGCAAGATGAGGAGACGAGCCCCGGAGACAGCACCTACCGGAGAAGTTCCTGGTGGCCAGCATGGTGGTGAGGATGGCTCCCTGGAAGACACAGAAGGCAGAAGGAAAGGGCATGCTGGGCCCCGGCCCCCCACACTCCCACCGCTCCCCCAGCCCTCAGGGAGGGAAGCCCTGCTCGTCACCTGTCCCCTGGCCACCTCGCTGGAAGGAAACTGGCCCACGGGCTGATATTCTCCTCCTGCCATCAAAAGCAGCCATCGGTACCCAACCCTGTATCCCCAGCACCAGGGCGTTGGGTTGCATTCTCCGAAACTGCCTTCCCTCCAAGATGAAAGGGATATTAAATATCCCCAGGGTGCATTTTGGTGTCGTTCTACCCCGCCCTAGATGTAGCACGACTCCACTGACCGGGGCTGGCAGCTGGCAGCGAGGGGAGCCACCGGGAGCGGAACCGGATTTAATGGCAATTAAAGCCATGCCAGCTAAGAGCAGCAGGGCAGGGATTTTTCATGGGAGCCACGCGAAGATCACCACCGCAAAATTACATTCATAAAAATTCTTCCCCTCTTCCAGCTGACTCTACTAACTAGTTGCTCAGCGTATAATGAGATTACTTCGGACTAATTGCTTACAGCAATGGACTACTATTTCGAAGTGGATGCCTGAACTAATTTGATTACTTGTCTAGCTGAAAAGTAATAGTAGTTGATAGCCAGTTTCTTTTCTTGATAATCTTGTTAGTAGCCTGCAGCTGTACTGCTCTGTGCCACGTTGTGCTCAGGCCTGGAGCGCTGACGTCCCTGGCTGCGGCACGGATCAGCACCGTCCCGTGGTGTGTCTCCGGCTCTGGAGGAGGCACTGTGATTTCCAGAGCCCGTTCCCAGCGCCGTGCTGCCGGCGGGGACTCAGCAGCACCCGGGAGATGAGTGCCTCAGGGAGGTGCTCCAGCCCGATGGCAGAGCGTGGGGCGATGGTGATCTCAGAGGGGTTCCAGGCTGTGGCAGACGGCAGCGCTCAAGAACAGAAAGCCTGTGGGGCCACTGGTGTGGGGGAGCCAGAGCTTCTCGCCTGTCTGTGGATCATTTGGTTCCTTGGCTGCAAAGTGACCTGGTCATCAGGCAAAGGGGTATCACTGTGCCCCTCAGACCTGTGTCCTGCCCCAAACAGGAGCTTTCTTGACACTGACTTCAGCGGAAAAATCCTCACCCCTGTGTCCAGGGCAGCCGCGTGACTCAGTGCCTTCCTTCACCATGGCTTTCCTCTGAGCACTTGGGAACCCCAGCCAGATGCAGCCACCACCCCACTCGATCTCTTTTCCCTTCTTCACCCCAGGGATTCCCAAATGCCCATCACCCCCATACCCCTGACCCAGAGACACCACCCTGTCCTTTCCCACTTGGGAAATAAACCCCCCAATGACCTGATCATGCATTTTGCAGCCAGCTTGGAGAATATGAGAGTTACCTTCAGCTTTCTCCGGGCATTGAACTTCTTCAGACAGTCCACTGTCTCCTGCCTGTGCATGCATGACGCCACGGTGGCACGGTGCTGGGAGGAGAAGGACCCGGCTCAGAGCAGTCGCCGAGGGGGAAGGGGGTCCCCCGGCCCCGCTCTCACATGCATGCACACGTGTGCGGTCTCCCACGGCCGAGGCACGGACCAGAGCTGCCTGCAGCAGCAGCAGCAGCAGATGATGAAACTTTAATAGGCAGCAGGAGATCACAGCTCTGGAGTCAGCAGGATCTGCTTTGGCGGTCGGGGGGTTTGCAGGGAGAGCTGGCTGCCCCCTGAGTTAACCCCTCGACTGACCGGCCACAATTAGCAGCGTGCTCAGGGTTTGCACGTGGTGTGGGGTCCCAGGGTTAAGCCCTTGGACTCCTCCTGCCTTTGGGAGCTGATGTAGAGTGAGAACAGGCAGCTGGGGTGCAGCAAAGGGGGGGGAGGATTGCTGCTGGGGTGTATGGATGGATAAACACAAGACTGCTCCCACCCTCCCCAAGGAAAGGCTCCCGCAGCGCAGCGTGACACCAAGAAACCAGCCCGGCCCCACCAGGGCTGGGAACACGCTCGTCCCTCCCATCCCCAGCTCCCCTGGGACACGCTGTTTGCATTCACACTCCAGGCTTTTCTCTGCTGTAAAGCCTCGGGGAAAAGGCTGCGCTGAGAGCACTGGGAGGAACCATGCCAGGAAACCATCTTCCCAGGATGGAGGAAAGACCCAGACAGCATGTCTGGTAACACGTGCTCCCCAGTGAGATGTTCCCCCACTGTGAACCCCCACATCTCTAGACCTTTGACCCCAGCGGGTGAGTGCCACCAAACTCACTGATATCCAGGGGTGCTTCAGAGCCTCCGCTGCCGTGATGCGCTTGGACGGGTTTATGGTCAACATCTTGTTGATGAGATCTTTCGCTTCGGGAGTGACTGTGTCCCACTCAGGGGAGGGGAACTGCCAAAGCAAAGGGACCGGGGTGAGAGATGGCAGGGAGCAAAGCAAGGAGCAGAAGCCCCTTTGCACGTGGGTTGGTTCTCCTGCAACTCTTTGCTCTTGCCCATGGGACAGGTTGGAGAGACAGTAGCAAATGGAAAGAGCTACAAGATGGGAAACTGGAGAGTAGGGGTGGAGAAAGAAAGGTAGAAGGCCCAGGACAAGACCCATCTGTCCTGCAAAGTGACCTGAAACGTGCAGTGTGTGCACTTGGGCACGGCAGCTTGTGACCCGAGCAGAGGAAAGAAACTTGCTGCTGTCTGCCTGAATTTGTCCTTGTTGGCTCTCTTGGAGCCGCGGACTGCAGCGTGGGGACAGCAAGACAGGGAAGACAGTGAAACGGGGGAGCAAGACAAACCCACTCACATCGTAAGCCCCAGCCTTGATCTGCTGGTAGAGTCGGTGCTGGTCTTCATCCCAAAAGGGCGGGTACCCGACCAGCAGGATGTAGAGGATGACGCCTGCCCGGGAGAGGAGATGTGGGATCAGTGGCAGAGAGTCCATTGCTGGAGGCATCAACAGACCCAGCCCGGGCACTGGCCCAACTCAAGCAGAAATGAGGGAAACGGGAGGATTTGCTCCCTGATTAAAAGGCAAAAGGCTTGCTGGTGGGTCCAGCGTCGTGCTGACGTGCTCGGCAGCTGGGGAGACAGATGGCAAAAAAACGCACAGCCCCAAGGCGGGTGGCCCCCCAGGGCTGGGCAATGCCTCCTCCCCATCGCGGGTGGAGGAAGGCTCCCCTGCAGCTGCAGCTATGCGGAGGCACTGCCTGGCTCCAGCGGCACCGCAGGGCGAAAGAGCCGGCATCTCCCCTGCCCGGGGGCTTTGGGTGCGTAGCAAGGGGGCTGATCCTGCGGAGGAGGGTGCCACTGGACTGGAAAGAGGGTGCTGCTCTGGGGACAGCCCAGGGTAATGTGCCACCTTTGGGGTCAATCCTCCACCCTGAGCTCCCTGAGACACGTCTAGCGGCTGTAGCTTGGGAGATGCCGGGTGAACAGCCTGCCTTATCCCGCGCTCCCCATCCCAGCCCGCTCCTGGCATTTCAGCCCCGTTCTGACTCACCACAAGCCCACAGATCCACGGCTTTGCCATAGGGGTCCTTCCGGAGCACCTCGGGGGACAGGTATCCCGGGGTGCCAGCGAAACCTGGGACAGACAGCCCATCACGCATGGCCCCGGCAGCCCCCACCCCCGCCCAGTTCACCAGCAGTGCCTGGTGCCCAGCCGGTCACCGCAAGAGCTGAGAGCCCTGGCCCTGCACACGGTGACATGGTGGGATGGGCATCCTCCTTCCAGAGACCTCTGCGACTCCCAAAATCAGAGCAAACTACAGCTTTCTGCCAGCAGCTGGCAACAGCAGCCAAACGCCAGGGTGGTACAGAAGGCTGGGGTGCTCTGACGTGCCCCTCCAGCACTTGGAAGAGGCTTTCCTCCTCCCCGGGGTCTCCCCTTGTTGCTGGCTTGTCCAGCTCACCAGGACATCTCGGTGACTCACAGAGTCCCTGTGGAGCTGTTTGCCTGTGCCCTGGATCAATACCAGGCTGTTTCCAGGGGCACAACTGGAGCCGTCAGCCTCCTCGTCCTCTGTGCCTCTCAGGCTGGTACTGCCTGGATGCTCCCGTAACCCAGGGTTCAGGTCCCGGGGACGTGCTTCCCTCCCAGAGCCTCCCCTGCCCAAACATGCCAGCGAGGGCTGGAGGATGCCCACCTCGGTCCAGTCTTACTCACCAAACCATGCTTGCTGGTCCCCCTCCACCTCGATGGCAAGGCCGAAGTCAGCCAACTTGACGGCGGCACCCTTCAGCTTGGATGCCAGCAGCAGGTTCTCGGGCTGCAGGAGGAGATGAGGGTTGGAGAGGAGTGAAAGCCCCTCGGGGGCTCTGCTGTCATGGGGGGTCTTCCCAGCACCAAACGGAGGAAGGTCAGGGCTCTGGATGTGTTCCCTGACCAGTTAATCCTGCTGTGTGTCACGATGTCCACAGACCCTTAGAGGACCATGGACTACAAGGACCTCCCTACCCCCTCTACCATGTGTTGTTTCACTCCAGAGCTGATCTTCACTCTGTAGCTTTCCAGAAGCTCCTACATGGCATTCTTCCCTGCTGTGATTCAGCTGCCCTGGAGGACCCTAGGCATTGCTCCACAGGGTTTTGAATCGCAGATGGGGTCCCCACATCCTCCCACAGGCCCTTCCCCTGCTGCTCCTACCTTCAGATCCCGGTGGACCACCCCCATCTGGTGGCAGTGCAGGACGGCCTCCAGGATCTGCTGGATGCAGTGGCTGCGGGAGACAGGAGAAAGCTTGTAGAAGTTTCCATCAAGGCAGAATTTCCTTAGATGCTTCTACCTGGCTGCATTTCACCCCACCATCCCTCTTCCCATCATGCTTCCCACCAGCAGCCCCACAGCACGGCTCATGTCCCCATCCACCAAAAGCCACACACCCATGGAGAGCAGTTGGCACCCAGTAAGACCCCACCAGAGCTACTGGTCAACCAGCTGCAGTGAGCAGGAGCACGGAGGTTACAGTGGAGCCCATGGGGTCCCTGCAGAAGCAACACCAGGGAGCTGGTGGAGATGCAACGCCAGCCCGGATTGGGTCTCCAGACCCAGGCAGAGCCGATGTGCTCCTCAGACGTAGCGCCAGCCCTCGCTTGGGCCCCATTTCCCTGGCCTCCTCTGACGCGGGTGGCTCTCGCTGCGTCTGTTCGCTTTAAATGTAGTTCATTAAACCCCAGCTCTGCTGCATGCGTGCGAGAGGAAGGGAAAAGGACTGAGGCGATGATCACTTCTGCTCCAAAACAGCTGCGTGCAAGGCAGAAGGTCTTCATTTACATGTATTTTATTTTATTTGTACGACACTAATAAGTGTATGGGCTGTAAGTGGATCCAGTGCAAGCAGCCCATTTAATGAGATCGCTTTCTGCCTAGAAATAAGTGATACTTCCATGCAGACAGAGGTAGCGTGGAGCTTACCATCCCCTTGGACATTTGTATGGGCTATGCCTCACTCACTGCAGCAAAGCCAAGAGGCACAGTGATACCTGGAGACTGGAGAGGGCCAGATCTTGTCCCCTCAATAAAATGAGGCTAATGCTGGTCTTGGCCGAGCTGCAAGGACCAAAGGGGTGGCTGAAATGGTACCCAGGCCCCTGCCTCTGCTGCAGGGTACCTGGAAAGTGCCAGCAGGAGTATGGGAGGGAGTGGAGCTCCAGCACATCCTCCCACCCAGTCTTGACTGCTCCTCCTTAGTGCTTTCAAGTGGTAAATGCTGGAGAAATGCTTGCAAAGGACTGTAATGCAGCTGCAAGGGGAAAGGGTGAGGACTGCTGGGTGTCTGCCCTGCCACGCTCCTGGCTGGGCCACCAGCCTGATGCTGGGCTTCCTCCCTGCCAGCCCAGGGACCCCTGCTGTCCCCTGTCCCCAGCCTGGGGACCCCCCGCTGTCCCCTGCCCCGGGAGCCCCGATGCCTTGCTCCTCTGCAGGGAGGTCAGATGTGGGCTATGCCACCAGCCCGGGGAAGGGGGATGCTGCAGGCGCTGGCTGGCAGCTGCCTGGTGAGGGGGGGACCAGCCCTGTGGTCACACACACACTTCTTGGCACAGGAGCTGAGTGAGTTAAAAAGAGTTGGGTTTTTTTTTGTACTACACATCTGGTTTATGAGTATGTGCTGTAAAACACCTCCCAGCATGGAAGGAGCTCATGCTGCAGAAAACCACATGCGTAGGACGCTGGGAGGGAGCTCATGGGAGAAGGGGACAACTTCTGTCCTCTCCAGGGCCCGGCATGTGTCCGTGCTCACCTGGCATCCGCTTCGCTGTAGTACTCCCTGGCCACGATGTCCTCAAACAGCTCCCCGCCGGTGACCCTGTGAGAAAACAGGGAGGGGGGTCACGCTTGGCCGTCTCAGTGCAGCAGGCAAGGGAGCTGGACTGATTTACAGCCCTCTCAGCCCTGGCAAACCCCCCCGAAATGCCGCTGCACCGCACACGGGGGGAGCAGGGGGGGTGCAGGGCAAGGACCTGCCTTCTGCCTGGCTTGAGGGACCCGTGTTTGGTCCAAACCCTGCCCAAAAAAGGCTCGGGTGAGGTAGAGGACGGGGGAAAGCTCAGGGGGGGCTGCGGGGCTGCAGGGTGCGTCGCCCCAGGGTGGAAGCACGCAGCTGCCAGGGGATTAAGAGATGTGTTGAACCATTACTCACAGGTCAAATATCAGGTAGTGGTGGCCCTCTTCGGAGATGCTGTCGTGGAGCCTCACTGCGGCAGAGACAGAAGGGTTACGGGGTACGCCCGGCTCCCACCCGCTCCCCGGGAACGCCTTGGCTCCCCTTTGGGCACAAAGAGGAGCCGGGGAAGGGCAGAGGGGGGGTCATTCCTCCTCCCTCCTCCTCTTGCTATTGCTGCTGCCTGGGTGGGGGGGTCCCCGCTCAGTGTGGGACCTCAGCCCTGGCCTCAGCCTCGGGCAGCAGCGCAAGGCTCAAAGGTCACATCCAAATCAGGGGCTGCCCGGGGCTGGCTCCTGGCCGAGGTCCCGGGCAGCTGCCGGGCTATCTTGGGCGCTGGGCAGGCTGCAGGCACGGGTGCCCCAGCCCTCTGCCCCGTCGGGAGAGGTGCCCGGGCGCAGGGGGAGTTCAGCCAGGGCGCTGGGCTGCCAGCTCTGGCACCGACGGGGCTTTTTTATTTTCTGCTCACGACCTTTCTTTTCTCCTTGGGACGTCTCAAGTTGGGGATATCCAAGGATCACAGCGGGATGAGTTTCCTTCGGAGGAAGCGCTCTCCCGGCTGGCACCTCGCCCCGATCATCACGCCGAGGGGTCCCCTCTCCCCTCGGGCACGCCTGGCCAGGTACAGCCGGGTGCTAACCTGCCATCCTCCAGCCAGCTTCTGGTTTTTCAGGCTTAGATCCCCGCTCACAGCTCAGCGGGCAGATGTGCAGCGAGGGGACAGGCACAGAAATAGGTAGGACGTATAAATAGAGACTGGGACAGTGTCCTCTGCCCCCCACCTCATTTTGTTCTGGTCTCCTTGAAGCTGTAAATATTTAACCCTTCCTCTCTGTTAATCTGGTTTCAGCCTGACAAAATTTTGAAAATCTTTGAGATCTTCGGAAACCAAGGAGGAAAACCAGACGTTCAGATGAATGATTTTGTGGGAATTTTTGCTCCTAGCACACTTCACCACAGCTAAATCATCTGAGTCCTCTACGGAAACATGCTCCAGGCTCGAGTCTGAGCCGGGGGAGACAGCAAGCCCCGCCGCCGAGCGCAGATGCTGGGCTGCATCGCTCTTATCTCCCAGGTCAGCAAATATCACTTTGCTGGTCCTACCCTCCCTCCAAGCTCAGCAGGCAGATCCAGCCACTGCCAAGAGCAAGCCGACAGTGGCATCGCCTCACCCCGGCCAGGGGATGGGGCAGAGCGGGTCTGCGGAGCCAGACAGCATCTTTCCTCTTGGTGTCTCTCATGGTCTTGTCTACTGACACAATTTTCTCATCTTACTCCCTGGTTATCCTTCCCCACTGCCAGTCTCCATAGACTCTCCTGCTATCCAACACCAGTAACTGCTCCCTGTTTTTCTCTGACACATAATCCCAACTTTTCTGCCTTCCTCTGCTGGAAGAAACACATTGCCTCCCGTTTCATCTCGCCCGAGAGGGATCGGGTGTATGGTGCCTGGGATCCCGCAGAATCCAAAGCGTTCAAAGGGGGATTAGGCCAGTTCGGTGCGGATAGGGCCAGCCTAACTATAAGCAGATGGTCTGGATACGTCCCCTGCTTGGGGAAGTCCCAGCGCCTGTGGCTGCCAGCAGTCAGGAAGGTATAAGAAGGAGCAGCCACTCTAAATATAGCCTGAGCCTGTAAGTATCTGTTACTGACCGTAGTCAGAAAGAGCCACGCTGGCCAAACCAGCTCGCTGCTGAGAGCCGAGGCAGGAGCAGGACACAGCTTTGGGACTAAGGGTCAGAAGATGATCGGTACCCAGAGTTAAAACCCCAGGGCTGGAGGCAACCAAAGTTTCCCCAATAAAGCAAGAGTTCCCTGCACGGACACACAACTTTGGGAAAGGGCAGCTCTCCCTAATACGTCGCCATGGATGTGCTGCGAGGTCGTGGGGACCCGGACCTGCCCTCGACCACCCGTGCATGACTTTCTACACAAGCGTCTCCGGCTGGCACAGTGCAAAGCACAGGTTGGTTCCTCCAGAACCGCAGCACCGCATTCCCATGGGAGACGGCGGGGACCCACCTCGCTGAGAGAAACGAGTGAGGGGCCAGCAAAGCCCCTCAGCAGCCGGGATGCTTCTCCCAGGGGGGTGATGGTTTCTCCCGCCCCTCCCCCATGCCTGGGGCAGCCATGGCTCCTCTTCCTCTCGTTAGGGCTGATCTGCAGCAGCAGAGCTCGTTCCAGCTCCTGGGTGGGTAATTAGCTGGCTTTTGCTTCAAGCAAGTGAAGCTGCAAGCCCAAGTTTCCAGGCAGCAGGAGCAGAGGGGGGTGAGGGTGTGGGGTGGGGGAGTGGAGAAGAACCTCCTGGGTATAAATAGCAGCTGAGATGGGGCTTGTTAGGATTTCATGCCATTAACCCCTTCCAGCCCTGTGCAGCAGGGTTGCTTGAAGCCTGCCATCTCTGCAGGTCACGGCCAAACAGCAAGATGTGTTGTAGGGATGGGCGAGAAGGCACAAGGGGGCTGAACCACAGGACAAGGTGTTTCTGTCCCCAGAGACCACGCCAGCCCCATGGGCAGGTGACGAAGAGTAAAGTGAGGAAGACAGTAGTAGGGAAAAGCTGGGGCCGGGCTGGGAGCCCAGAATGCTCCAGCTGCATGGCCCAGCTACCATCCTGCAAGTCGTCCCGGGGTGGGTTCCTCCATTTTTAGCATTTTTTGGTATTGCATGGCATTTCCTTCAGGTGTCTGCAATCCCCGGGTGTATTTTAGTGCAGAGGAAAGGCCCCGGCTGCTGCTCGGACCAGGACCCCAGCAGGGCAGCTCCTGTGTGGGGCATCGGTCCCGTCGGAGCCGGAGCAGGGCCAGGGGGAGGGATGGTGGCTGGATCCTGTGGGATCTGGTGCCCCGGCAATGCAGCGGAGACCTGCCATGCCACTGTGTGCTTGAGACAGATGGAAGCGGACAGGCTTTTTCCAAATGAATTATTTATGGGCTGGGAGCCGCATGGCTGGTCCCAGCGGCCGGGATCTGGCTCCCCAGATCTGCTGCAGCGGGATCCAGACCGCCGGGAGCAGCGAGAGGACCAGCTCAGCCAAAGGGGAAACCTCCCAGCTGCTGGATGCAAGGGCTGCAGAGCTCCTGTCCTACCCCCAAACGCTTTCTCAAAAGCTGCAGGATCCCACTAGGGTCAGCACATCCCAGAGTGCCGTGGAAGGGAGAGGGGGTTCATCCCCAGAGCCACAGCACTGGGCACTGCGCTCCTGCTCCCGGACCATCCCTGGGGACCGACAGCCTGCATCAGCATCACTCTCAGGGCTGGGGTTTGGGATTTTTTTACTGCAGTTTTCTCCCCTCCTCTCTCTCTCTCTCTCCCCTTCTGGTTTATTTTTGCCTTGTGCAGGGGCTCAGGAGTTTTCCTGAAACAGCTTTTCCGAAGGAGGCTACTCTCAGATGGACGGTCGGTGGGAAAGTCTTCGCTTCCCCCCGCCATCGCTCCTCCTACACGCCCCGCGCTGCTGCTGCTGCTCCGAGCTGCAGCCGCTTTTTGGAGCATGCAGAGGAATACAGCACCCGAGGAGGGGGGAGAGGAGTAAAAATAGTCCCTTGCAGCCTACTGGGGCCCCGCTTCTCCCTGAGGGAGCTATGGCCAAATGGGTTAGGTAGGACCTACTTTAATCCCCCACGCTCGGTGGAGGCCTTTCTTCTCATGACCCCATTTGAAGATGCTGCCTCCTGTGAGGAAGAGGAGGGATGGCTCTGCAGATCAACAGGGCAGGCTGACAG